CAGTATACTACCCCAAAAAGGTACTACATAGGAGCCTTTGGGTATACTACTATGGGGTCATTCTTAGGAATTCTTAAGGGGATGTACTTTTTGGATCCTCCCAAAGGTCTGGGACTTGGCTTCAAAGGGGTTAACCCTAAACCCTAAACCCTAAACCCTAAACCCTAAACCCTAAACCCTAAACCCTAAACCCTAAACCCTAAACCCTAAACCCTAAACCCTAAACCCTAAACCCTTGGGATTCTAAGCGAAGATGCTCTGCACAGCCAGCGAGGCATCGTACTTCGGATCCTCCATGTCGCGGAGTTTCGCGCCCAAACTCCATGAGTCCAAGGAAACCGGCAGCTCACCTGGGGTGGGTTTAGGGTTTAGGGTTTAGGGTTTAGGGTTTAGGGTTTAGGGTTTAGGGTTTAGGGTTTAGGGTTTAGGGTTTAGGGTTTAGGGTTTAGGGTTTAGGGTTTAGGGTTTATAGGGTTTAAGGTTTATAGGGTTTAGGGTTTAGGGTGCAGGGTTTAGGGTTTAGATTTTTGGGATTGGGGTTTCGGGGTGGGGGGGGGTGGGGGGTTGGGGGGGGTGAGGTGGGGGGGGGAGGTGGAAAGGAACTGCCTCAGAGCCTTCAGATAGGGGGTAAGGGATTCTAGCGGAGGGCTCGAAGATTCATAATGTTCAGGGGTTTAGTTCAGGGTTGGGGCTTCCGCGTTTCCCCAAACCCTACACCCTAAGCCCCAAACACCAAACCCGAAACCCTACACTCCAAGAAAAGTTACATGGTCTGTAAGCATGGGGCCCTTACATGGGGATCCCTTCTACACCCCTTATATACCCAAGAACTACCCTTAGATACACCCTAAACCCTAAACCCTAAACCCTAAACCCTAAACCCTAAACCCTAAACCCTAAACCCTAAACCCTAAATCCCAAACCCAAAACCCCAAACCCCAAACCCCAAACCCGAAGGCTTGAAAGAGCTGGCGGGCCGCCTCCCGGAACCCCGGAAGGGCGGAGTCTCTGTCACCCTTTCGCCCCTAGGGTTTAGGGTTTAGGGTTTAGGGTTTACCCACCCGAAGGTTTCAGTTTCAATGTAGTTCCTTTTTTTGGGTTAGTTTTTGGGTGGTTCAAGTATAGTACCCCAACAGGTACTACGCAGGAGCCTTTGGGTAGCAAACGCCCTCAGAAATACCCTTAAGGCCCCCTAGCAGAACCCGAAAAACCGTGAGGAGCCTCAATTTAGGGACCCCCTAGAAGGGACCCTTCATCTTATTCCCCTTTTCAGCCCCTGTATATAGCTTATAGAGTCCCTACATACCTAAATAACCCCCAAAGAACCCCCTAAGGTCCCTTGTAAGGTCATGGGTTCCCCTACTACCCCCTCTATACTACCCCCCCCTTTTGTTGCCCCCATCTGCTATTTAGGGGTCGCACAGAACCAAGGCAACACAGATGGGATGCACCGATAGGACACGCAGGCCATCCGGACAGCTTGCGTAAATCGCCCTAAACAGTAAGCCCAAAACCCTAAACCCTTGCTTTTTGAACTGCAAAGCAGGAAAAATGACATGTCAGCGTTTTAGGGTTTAGGGGTTGCTTTGTGCTCGGAGCTTGAGATTCAAAGGGGTGCTAAGGCTATTCAAGGGGAAACCTCGGAGGGGTAGTATAGAGGGGGTAGTAGCCCTAAACCCTAAACCCTAAACCCTAAACCCTAAACCCTAAATGCTAAATAAGGGTTCCCTCCTTGGGTCCCTTAATGGCCGGGCCGCTGAGCATGCTGAAGCTTGAGCGTCGGGAGTTGGGGAGGTCCTTCGCAGCATCCTTTCAGAGACAACACAACTCAGGTGGATTGCAGGGTTGAGGGTGTATCCCTAAACCCTAAACCCTAAACCCCAAACCCTAAACCCCAAACCCCAAACCCCAAACCCCAAACCCCAAACCCTAAGCCCTAAGCCCTAGACCCTAAACCCTAAACCCTAAACCCTAAACCCTGCCTGCGGGGGAGCCGTGCGAGTCAGGGGGTAGAGGGGGTTTAATATGAAGGGGAAGGTTATTGCTGCGGAAGAGAAAACAGGTGGATACGGGTTGAGGGTTGAGGGTTGTTGGGCTTAGGACTTTCCTGGTCTTATATAGGCTCTAGAGTATCCGAAGACTGTCGAAGAAAAGCAGACCCCAAACTCTATACACCCGCAACCCAGATCATACACCTGAAAACCCCAAACCCCAAACCCAGGACCGAAACCTAAGCCTTCCCTAAACCCTATAAACCCTAAACCCTAACACTAAAAACCCTAAACCCTAAACCCTAAACCCTAAACCCTAAACCCTAAACCACCCTAACGCCTAAAGCCTACAGCCTAAACCGTGCGGTACTGACAGCGAAGAAGTGTCTGGCGGCAGCGTGCTCCAAAGCTCTTTGTGACCGAGACCAGGAGGTGGACGAACCGCCTGTGCCGACCTGGGCTGTTACGCCAGGGCTGAGGGTTAGGGTTTCTGGTTTAGGGTTTAGGATTAGGACTCAGAGTTTAGGGTTTACGGGTCGAGAGAAGGGAGACCTCCGGCTCTATCTTGACAGAGTGGAGATGGATGGGTAGAATGTAGTTGCGACCTCTTTTAAACCTGAGAGCAAGCGCACTCTTTACTATTTACACGATATGCAGAAATGCTATATCCAAAAAAATGTTCTACACGTGTGGATGAAATCTGTAAAATGCAAGTAACTGATCTTTAGCACAGCAGTCATGTACAAACAACAAAATGAATATCAGTAAGTAGGAAAGCATAATAATAACAACAATAACAATAATAATAATAACAGTGATACTGATGATGAAATGTTTATAACAATATATTAATTAGTACTAGTAGTAATGGTACTAATAACAATACAGCGAATTACACTGGTATCAGAAAATCTATCTGAGCTTGAGCGCAAAAAACAGACATACCATACTCTAACGCGCAAGAGAACGGAGGAGATCGTGGAGTTAGACTACACGGCGAAGGCATACAATCAGAAATCATTCCAAGCAAGAACCTACCCAAAGGCTCCTATGTAATACCTTTTTGGGGTAGTATACTAGAATCCCCTATAACTAACCCAAAAAAGGATCTACATTGGAGCCTTCAGGTAGACCGTGACGACAGATTTGTTTCTGACGTACACTACATACCTATACTACCCTTAGAACCTGAGTCAAAATATCATGTTGAACATTCCCTAGGGTTTTATATAGTTAACAATACAAAGCGTTCCTAAGGGGGCTACGGATACCTGGTACACGCATCTCTTCTGGAACGCATGCACCGTACTGTGAAGATGTAGAATCATCATATAGGGGAGCAGAACTTGAACTACATGTGTATGTATATGTATGTGTATATGCATGTGTATGTGTATGTGTACGTATACATAATAATAATAATAATAATAATAATAATAATCATCATCATACTCTATACATACATCACAAACGCACGACCGCAAGGGTTTGTTTCAAAGCAGCAGTCCGAGGTACATTGAGGATTGCATGACCTGACCCAGGCCCTCCAGGCCCGGGTCCATCGCGGCCTGCAGGCCACTTGATGGCACCTTTGGGGTTCAGGGTTTAGGTTTAGGGTCTAGGGTCTGGGGTCTAGGGTCTGGGGTCTGGGGTCTAGGGTTTAGGGTTTCGGGTTTAGGGCACCTGGAGCAGGACCGAGGCGGGACGTTCCTCGGTTGGCTCTTGGGAGGCTCTTCTGGGCAAGGGGCGGGGAGAGTGCCAGCTTTCTCTACATTCTCTATAAACCCTAAACCCTAAACCCTAAAACCCTACAAGAAACATCTACGAAGAGAAGGCTGAAGGCAGCAAAGGCTCGATGCTTGCAGCTGACGTCGGCTGGGGTGGCTTCGCAAGCGTGTGCACGAAACGGCACGAGGGTCCCTTTGAGCAAAAGCCGGTTCCTTTGATGATCACATGAAGCTTGAAATTGGGGTTTAGAGTTTAGGGTTTAGGGTTTAGGGATCACAACCCTAAACCCTTTACTTGAACCCAGGCTGGACAAACCCTAAACCCTAAAACCCTAAACCTAAACCCTAAACCAACTCTTATAATCCCGAGCAAGGTATATGGGGGCCAGAGTTCAACCCTTTTGGGGGCTCATTTCGTCCCCAAGGCTCTTGCAAATTCGAAGCATGGCTTTGGGCTCGGGCGCAACTCTCCACTTCCGTGGGCGAACGTACAGTCCGCCCCCATCTTACACTCGTTGGTACGCCAGAACTTGCACATGCGAGTGAACTGCACGGCCTTCTTCTGCTCAGCCTGGGTCAGGGTCTGCTGATGGAGCTCGCCCACCCCCCCCCCCCCCCCCCTTCATAAGCCCTACCCCCAAGGTTTAGGGTTTGGGGCTTACAAAATCTAAAGCCCCAATAAGGTGCCCCTAATATCGTAAAGCCCCAAATATCGGCCTTGGTCATGATTGATGTCGCTGGACACGCGGGGGCAAGTCCTCTTACAATTCGAAGAATGACCTGGTCAATCCTTGATGCCAGCGGCTGCGGTGATCGTGTATACCGATTTGGGACATGAGGGGTACATTATTGGGGTCCTTCGAAGGGAATCCTAGTGTTTGGGGCATCTATATTGGGGGTCCCCTATTTTCGCAAACCCTCATTTTGGGGAATCAGTTTTAGGCTAAAAGCCCGAAATCCTTGAGCCACGATGAACCCAAACCTGGAAATGCAAAAACATTCGCCTCATGAATTTCAGGTGACTCTGACCTTGGGCTATGGCACTTGCTTGGGGAAGATCAAGCCTCCTTGGGGACGAACATGAAGCCAAAATTCGGGTCATGTTACTGCTGCTTGTGATCCGTATTAATTAGGGTTTAGGGTTTAGGGTTTAGGGTTTAGGGTTTAGGGTTTAGGGTTTAGGGTTTAGGGGGGGTATGTCGAACATGAACCCTTTCAGGGTTCACTTCGTCCGCAAGGTGTGCAGACCTCCAGCAGACTCTTGCAGCGCTCTGTGTTTTCTTCAAACCATCGAGCACACGAGCCGCCTCCGCTTTGAATCGACATTCAGGATTCGCACCTTGGCATGGAAAGCAGGACAGCTTAAGGACCCCTGAGCCCTTTCTGCTCCAGGGTTTAGGGTTTGGGTTTAGCCTAAACCCTAAACCCTAAACTCTTCTTACATCGCTGTTCTGGCACGATTTGTTGCGGAAACGGTTCTGAAGGTGGGTGCTTGCTTTTTTTTTTTTTGTTTTAATGAGGTGGGTGTTAAGGCTTTCCGAAGCCCAGGGCCTCATACTCAGGGCCCAGATGCCTAAGACATCACCTCATGGCTCGGGCTGAGGGTTTAGGGTCTCAGGGTTTTAAGGTTTTAGGGTCTCGTGGCTTTACCCAAAGGCTCCTGTGTAGTGCCTTTTTGGGGTAGTATGTTAGAGTCCCCTATAATGAACCCAAGAAGGAACTACATTGGAGCTTTCAGGTAGGGTTTAGGGTCCGTTTTGGCGTCTAAACCCTAAACCCTAAACCCTAAACCCTAAACCCTAAACCCTAAACCCTAAACCCTAAACCCTAAACCCTAAACCCAGGGTTTTAGGGGCTTATGGGTTCCGGGCCTAGGCACCTGGATCTCCTGACCCACTTCCACGACCTCGGCGGCATCCTCCACTGGCGTGTCGGACATCTTGGACACGTGCACCTTCTCAGTCTTAGGGTTTAGGGTTTAGGGTTTAGGGTTTAGGGTTTAGGGTTTAGGGTTTAGGGTTTAGGGTTTAGGGTTTAGGGTAGAGAAACCCCCAAACCCTAAAACCGAAACCCTAAAAACCCCTAGGCTTGGACCAAATGCAACTTCTCACAGAAGCCCCAAGCTCTAAGCCCTAAACCCTGAAAGACCCTGAACCTAAACCCTAAACCCTGAACCCTAAACTCTAACACATTTTTTGCATCCTGGCTCTACGAGATATCTGCCGGAACCAAAGACTCGACCCACTTCGCTCCATCTCATGATGTTCACAAGACAGCAAACCCCAAACCCCAAACCCCACAAACCTAAACCCTAAACCCGAAACCCTAAACCCCACAACCCCTCTCAACCCCAAAGAATTCGGCCCACAGAGCCCAAAAACCGTAAAGCTCATAGTACGTCTTCGAGCCCAAAGACCCTACTTGGAGGTTCAGGTTCCTTATAACCCCAATTATCATAGGGCATGATTATCATAGGGTTTACTCTAATAGGGTCGAGGGATTAGGGTTTAGAATTTAGGGTTGTTAGGGTTATTAATATTTACCCCAGGTGATTCTATCTGTACTTATAAGCCCCCGAAGTCCTCTAGGTAGATGATAAGTAGACTTACAACTGGAGATATAAGCACCCATGAACCTCCAAATAAGACCCAAAAGCACCGCAGCGCCCCAAAGCCAAAAAAACTGAGCAAGTCCGCCGATGCAGCCCTACTTCAGGCTAGGGTTTAGGGTTAAAGTCCCCAAAGCCGTACAAAAGGAAAAGGAACTACTTTGCGAGAGGGGTTCAGAGTATCCTAAACCCTGATTCCTTAACCCGTTTTTTCTTTGCATCTGGACGGCGGGAGCCAATCAGTCAGATTACTTGCCTGAACCCTAAACCCTATAAAGCCTCTGCCTGGCCCTCGGCCGTCACGTCTGCGATGTTGGGATGTTGAACACACAGATAAGCCTCGTGCCGGAGCCCCCCCAAAACGCTACGCCCTTTAACTTGGGTTTGGGGTTTGGGAGACCCCCCAAAGAAGCGATCAAAGTTGCAGGTGTCATTTATAAGCTTTTTGGGCCGCCGAAGTGAGCATGTTTTGCACACTTGCAGCCGCTTCACTCACCCCACGGCCTCACAAAGGGGCCTTCATAATTGGAACAGGGTTTTGGGGGGTCATTATAGGATAATTCTAGAGGGACCATAAGGGAATATTATTAGTAATTATTCCGAGCCCTATATTGTATTGAAACACGACCCCGACGTGTGCTTGCCCGTTGCCCTAGATCCCAGGCAACCTACAGGAGTGAAAGGGGCAATATGGGGCCTAAATAATTGAAATACGGTTTGGGGGTTATACAGGAAATATGTTCGGGAAGTATTCCGACCCCAAAATAACCCCCCCCCCCCCCCCGCGGTTCTTGTCAGTTTTCTCATGAGGCAAGTTTACCCCAAGAAAAGGCCCCCCCACTGTGGCTCCTGGCCCTTGCATCTCGTTGGGTCCAGACGGGTCGCAAAGAAAGCCGCAAATCAGCCCCCCATACATTTCAGGCCCCAAAAGGTCAGGTGCACTTGATATACACCCTAAACGGAATACGCAGGTTCTCGCTTTAGATTCAGACGGTGTGTGGGAGATGATAGTTGGCAGCCTTCCACAATCAGGCTATATAGCTGCACTTCGCATACTACGAACGTAGAACTTGCCGTCACAGGGTCCGGGGAGCTGTCGTGTACTTGTTTGGTTTTGGGGGAGCCAACGCAACCCGATGGACAAACTATTGTTGTGACAATTGCCTGGGTGCTCTTTGGGCTACTCTAATATAGGGGCCGTAATAATTAGAATAGGGTTTTGGGGGATATTAGGGTACCATTATATAAAGGGGCCATGAGGGAATACTATTACTATTTGTAATTATTGCACATGGAAGACGAGCTGGAGGGCGAGGGACCCTGCAAACCCTAAACCCTGAACCCTGAACCCTGAACCCTAAACCCTAAACCCTAAACCCTAAACCCTAAACCCCAAACCCTAAACCCTAAACCCTAAACCCTACCCGTGCCGTCCTCGGACCGGGTGGTGCGTTGCACCTCTGCCGCCAGCCATTGATCCGACTTCAAGGTGTGGAAAAGAGGAAAGCCGGCAGCCTGTTGGTACCAAGGGGGTTTAGAGGTCTTAGGTTTAGGGTTTAGGGTTTAGGGTTTAGGGTTTAGGGTGCTTTAGTAGGGCTTTGGGGAAAAGCAGAACCCTAGGGTTGAGGGTTTAGGGTGTGGGTGGGTGGGTGCGCGGGTGTGCGTGTGCTTTGCTCCCGCACGCAACAGTCTAGCCCTGCCCATGCTCGGGAGCATGGGTCCTAAAACTTGGGATGTTCTCCGTTATACTACCAGTCCCGAATCGTGACTAAAATGGGGGGGGGGGGGGGCACTACAATGCCTGTTAAGAACTGTTAGTATAAGGGGGAACATCCCGAGAAAAATGACAAGCTACACGGAAGCCCCTTGACAACCCAAAGCCGGCAATTTTGGAACCCTACCTTAAGAACCCCAAACCTACTTTTTTGTAGGTTTCCTAAAAATCATACAAGGGGATTCGTAGTAAGAACCTACAATCAGTAGGTTTGGGGTTCTTATGGTAAACAATGCCACTTGGGATGTTCCCCCTTCTACTGACAGTCCTTAACAGGGACTATAGTACACCCTATCATAACCCCTATTAAGGACACCCTCTTATCATCCCCATTAAGGACGGTTAGGATAAGGGGGAACATCCCAAGATGCCAAACTCTTCTTGACAAATGCGGCCTGTCTCGCCGCGCGCATGCGCGCTGGTACCGGGCGGGTGGAGAAGCTCAGCCGCTGAGCACGGAGCTCAACCTAGGGGCGGCCCTACTACCCCCCCCCCCCCCCCCCTCTACACTCTACACTCCCCTCTAGGTTTCCCCCCCTAAATTAACGCTCTTTAAGGATAAGTAGGCCTCATTAAGGCGTATTCAAGTGGGGAACCAAGGGGAGTGGTATAGGGGGGGGAAGTAGGGAAACTTATATGATGTCGAGGGTTTCGGACGGCTTGCATTTCTTAGAGTGTGACAGGGTGTGGCGGGCCCGGCGAAACTCGACCGCTAACTGCCGCGCCAACCGAAAACCTGTGGGCTCTATTTGCTTAGGGACGTGGACTGGGAGGGCGGGGGGAGGACTGGGCTTCATACGGAGTTAAGCAGCAGGCTGGTTTCTTTAAATAAGTGCCTCAGAACCAGAATGGCTTTGAGTCATTTGCCCTTAACAAAAACATGTTGGTCCCTGTCCCCTCGTCATCCTATCATCGCCACCTCAAAAGAAAGGGACCTTGCAGGTAGAAAAAACCACGAGTGCGAAAGCCGAAGCTCGACAAGGTGATGCATCCTTTCCAAAAATCTACCAAACTTTACTACGTGCAGCCCATTCAACTGCAGGCCTAAACCCTGTAAACACTAGACCCTAAGGCAGTATACCAGAATCCCCCAAAAAGGAACAACCTTGAAGCCTTCAGGCAAAGCCTATTTCTTCCAGGAAAGCTCGAAATCCTACAAGGGTTTGTTTCATAAGAACTTACAAAACACCGAGGTTTTGGGTTCCTAAGGCAGGGGCGGGGCGGGCGGGTTTAGGGGGGTTTAGGATTTAGGGTGGGTGGCTCGGTGGCTCAGTGGCGGGGTGCAGGTTCTCTGCAAGGGCAGAAGAGGTTGCCCCAGGCAAAGCCTCCTCCTTGCAAGACGTATATCTTTGGGGTTTAGGGTTTGGGGTTTAGGGTTTAGGGTTTAGGGTCGCACCGAAACCCTTTATGAATTTGAGCAGTGCGTGCCTGCAGCACACGCACCCGGATCTCCTGGCCCTGCGTGAGCATGGCCACTTTTCCTGTTCCCTAAACCCTAACAAGGGTTCAGGGTTTAGGGTCTAGGGCTTAGGGTTTAGGGTTTAGGCCCCGAAACCCGAGTAGTAGTCTTGCACTGGTAAGGTGATCTGGGGTTGTAGGGTGTTTTATGTAGGGTTTTAGGGTTTAGGGCTCAATTAGAGTTTAGGGCTGAGGGCCTTTGGAACCCCAAACAATGAACTCCAGGTGGGGAGCCTCCATTTTCTCTTGCAAGCTCGAAAAGTCCAAGAGAGCTCCAGGGGCTGCCAAGGTGTACGGTCTAGGGTTTAGGGTTTGGGGTTTGGGGTTTCGGGTTTAGGGTTTGGGGTTTCGGGTTTGGGGTTTAGGGTTTTGGGGTTAGGGTTTGGAGTTTGGGGTTTAGGGTTTAGTGCTTGGGGGTCAGCTCCTCAAGACCCCCCTCACCACACGCGCCCAAACAAGCAACCACAAAGTCCCAAAGCCGTGAATCACAGTGTCACAACCCTCCCCTCTCAAAAACAACATATTTTTGAACAAAAAACAGAAAACATAAATTAATATATGTGTCTCTATATATATATGTATGTTTATTTATTTATCATGTATGTACTTACTCATTTATATCTACTTTCTTTATCAATGAAATAAATAATGACATGCTTTTGTCTGCCTACTAGTACCGCCCTCGGGAGGTTTGCAGGCTTGAATGGCGCGATTGGCAGGGTCATGATGCCTCCGTAAACCCTGAACCCTGTCTTTTGAACCCCGACTCCTGAAGTCAGCTAGGAAACCCTAAACCCTAAACCCTAAACCCTACACCCTAGACCCCATAGAATCGGCGTAGTCTGTGCAGCTGTGTACTTGCAGAATTCTTGGGTAGGGGTTGGGGTCATACAAACGCCCCTCTTATGGTTTAGGGTTTAGGGTTTCGGTTGCGACTTGTTGCAGGTCCTGCCATGTCGCGCTCGCGCAGTATACCCGTGAGGCACCTCACGGGACTCTGCGTACCGGAGGCCCTCGTCCTAAACCCTGAACCCTAAACCCTAAACCCTAAACCCTCACTTTAACCCAACCGTTCCACACCCCAACATGGCCCCTTGAGTCGGACGCCCAACCACAGGGTTCATTTAGTGCCCAAAGAAGGGTTTAGGGCTTGCCCTAAACCCTAAACCCTAAACCCTAAACCCTAAACCCTAAACCCTAAACCCTAAACCCTAAGCCCTAAACCCTAAACCCTAAACCCTCACTTTAACCCAACCGCTCCAACACCCCAACATGGCCCCTTGAGTCGGACGCCCAACCACAGGGTGCATTTAGTGCCCAAAAGAAGGGTTTAGGGCTTGCCCTACACCCTAAACCCTAAACCCTAAACCCCTAGAGGCTCGAGGGTCTGGACCCGAAGATCGCCACAGTCGATGTGCGGAAACTCCATGGCTCTGAGTGCAGGGACTCATGGCCTCTAGGTCCCCAACAGCTGTGGTAAAGGGGCATCCCTTTTTGGGGGTTTAGGGTTTAGGGTTTAGGGTTTAGGGTTTAGGGTCTATAGGGCTTGGGGTGTAGGGCTTAGGAATTAGGGTTTAGGGCTTAGGGCTTAGGGTTTAGGGCGTAGGGTTTAGGGTTTAGGGTCTATATAGGGCTTAGGGTTTTGATATTCAAAGCTCCAGCAGGAGACCTCAAAGGATGGGGTTGGGCTGACTCTTCACTAAACCACTTGGCCTTTAATGCGGCTTGGGGATTCGGGCTCTTTTGGCTCTGGGGTTTGGGGTTATCTTAAGAACCCCAAACCTACTTTTTTGCAGGTTACCTAAGAATCCTACAAAGGGGGTTTCATCAACAGAACCTACTTTTGAACCCCAAACCTACTTTGGTTGTAGGTTACTGCAGTTTATACAAGAATCCTAAATCATCAGAACCTACAAGAAAGGCAGGTTGTTGGGTTCTCAAGGTAGGGCTTAGGCCTTGGACCAAGGCATTTCTCTGTTTACGTGCCATTTTTGCGAATGGGTTATAAGGGTTTGGGATTTAGGGGCTATTAGGGTTTAGGGTTTAGGGTGCCAATTTTAGTACTAGTATCCCGAGAAGAAGCTGCCAGAGCTACCTACGAATAGTAGAGGCACCAAAGGGTTGCTAATGGAACCTGTTACCCACCCTGGGGGCCTAGATAGCTGGTCCCAACTAAGGTACTCTTAAACCCCCGTGTAGGGGTGTGGGGTTTCGGGCTTAGGGCTTCACCCTGAACCCTAAACCCCAAACCATGAGGGTTTAGGATCGCTATAAATACATAAACCCTGAACTTGGGAATGTCAGCGCTGCCTCTGCGTCTGACCTGGCACTGCCACTTCCACCAGGGCCTTTCCAAGCGTGCGTGAGCTGGGGTCCGTTGCATCATAGAGTTTTTGGCTTAGGGTTTAGGGTTTATGGTGACCCAAGAGTAACCTATAGGGAGTTAAAGGGGATCATAAAGGAGCCTAAACCCAAAGAAACAGGGAACACGGGCCTACTCTGGGTCCTCGTAAAGGGTTCGGGCTTTATTGTTCAGTTGCTTCCCAGGGTTCACAAAGGATTTTGGTGTTGGAGGGTTTCAGGGTTCAGTTCAGTTGCTTCCCAGGGTTTATAAAGGGTTTTTGGGGGTTTGGGGTTTTAGGGTTTACTTGCTCCCTAGCAGTTTTGGGACTCAAACATTTCGGGCGCTAGACCTTGAGGGTTGGTGCGCCGGCGGCGTTCCACCAATTGAACTGCGCAAACCTCTCAGCACTCGCAGTCCATACAGCGACATCTGGCGTGACCTCGCGTCTCCTCTGCTCCAGCAGCCACACCCTCAGCAAGCGAAGCCTAAGCGCCTAGTGCTAGGCCCTAAACCCTACCCAAAGGCTGCTATGTAGTACCTTTCTTGGGGTAGTATACTAGAATCCCCAAGAAACCCCAAACCTAGGCCCCAAACCCTGCACCCCAACCCTAAACAACCACCTAAACCCCGAACCCTAAACCCTAAACCCTCAACCCTAAACCCTAAACCCTAAACCCCAAACCCTAAACCCCAAACTTTGGCCGACTTCGACCAACTGGCGCCTCGGCATATCTCCGGTCGCGAACGCGTCCGGGCAGCCTCGGATGCCAGGCAAGGGTTTTTTGGGTTTATGGGGTTTAGGGTTTAGGGTTCGGGGTTTAGGTTTTGGGGTTTTAGGGTTCATGGGGACCTTTCAGGGGCCACTCCGCAAGGAACAATCGAGGTTTCCTGGTACCCCAAAAGACTCCTCCACGCATTCTGCGTTTCAGGTTTAGGGCTTACAAAACTGATTCTGGAACCCTAGCAAAAAAAGTGTTTTTTTGGCTGTTTCTTGGGAACCATAGTACCCAAAAGCCAAAAACTATTCACAAGTATCCCAAAGTTTAGTAAGGGTCTAGGCCCCCTGGGCTTTACACAGTCCAGCCGGCGGGACCACTTGTCCTCGGCAAGGGCGCGGAAAGCCAGAAGGTCTTGTCTCAAGGTCGAGGGCTGTCCTTGGTGGCCCGTGTCGTGCTTGCCTAAGGTGAGGACTGCCTTTGGGGTGACGAGATGAACGGTCCCCTTAGGGTTTAGGGTTTCGGGTTTAGGGTTACCTTGAGAGGGATAGACATTATAGGGTAGAGATGATCTAGATTAGAGGGTCCAGTTGCCCACAGAGGTATGCCAGCACCATACTGCTACGGCCGTGGTCAGATGTTGACCCTAGGAAATATTGCTGGCTGCCAATTCAACCGATGTCGGCTGCGAAAAATGGCAAGATGAAGGAAACATGCTTGTGCTTCGGCTGGGAGTGGCTAACTTTATGCCATGTGCATGCGAACGGCGACCATGGCAACCACAAGAACATGCGCAGTAACAACGACAAGTGGCGCGTGCCATCATCGACTCTTTTGACTCTTTGACACGTCCGCAAGCATGTCCACCCTCACCCCTTCACATGCAGAGGTGCCTAGGATGGCCCTTCAAACCCTCTGGAAGTTGTTCCCAAAACTGATCCTGTTTAAACCCAATAAGCGAGCACAAAAAAAAACACATCACAAAGGCCTTGCGAGGCACATTAGGTTGGCCCAAGATTCGCAAGTACTTTGGCAACATGGTCAGGCACAGCTGCCCGTTCGACTTCACCTGACGAAAACAGGTCTAGGCCCTCTGCTTCAAACGCTCAAGAAGGGACCTGGGCCTGCCAGCCCCCCCCCCCCCCCAAAAAAAAAAAAAAAACCTAAACCCCAAACCCCTAAACCCCCTAAACCCTATAAACTAAACCTAAACCCTAAAACCTAACCCTAAACCCCAAACCCCCAAACCCAAACCCCAAACCCTAAACCCTAAACCGTCCTTAACAGGGATTATACTCCCCCACCCCCCCCCCCGCGACTATAATCCCTACTAAGGACTGCGAATACAAGGGGGGAACATCCCAAGATGGGCCCCGGCCTCCTCTACCCACACAGCGACTTTCTGACCCGGCATGATCTCCTGGGCCCCCAGAAAAACAACCGGGAAGACGTCGTCGTTAGGGTTTAGGGTTTAGGGTTGAGGGTTTGGGGTTTAGGGTTTAGGGTTTAGGGTGTAGGGTTTAGGGTGTAGGGTTTAAGGTTTAGGGTTTAGGGTTTAGGGTTTAGGAAGGTCTTGAACTTGTGGTTGGGATGGGGCTCGGCTCGTGCGTTGAAAACCCTTTGAGGGCTCAGGCTTGAGGACTGTTTCGGGCGACTTGGTCACCCTAACACGTAAAATCCCTAACCCCTAAGCCCTAGACAAACCTTAGGGTTTAGGGTTTAGGGTTTAGGGTTTAGGGTTTAGGGTTTAGGGAAACCTAAACCCTACATAAACCCTAAACCCTATAAGCCCTCAAACCCTATCCTTCTCTCAGTCTGCATCTTTGCAAAGCCTTAGGCGGGGTTTGGGGCTTGGTTCGGGAAGGGGACCTACCACGCAAGCAGGTCTTCGTCAGCACTATGCAGCTTTTTGGCAGCTAAAAACCCTCCCTTGAGTCTAAGCCCTAAACCCGAGCCGCTCTGAGAGACGTTTTAAGGTTTATGGTTTAGAGCATGGAAGGTTGCAGCGTCTGGACTGCAGTTGTTTGTTTGTTTGTTTGAAGGCATTTTTGAGTTTGACTCCACTCGCAAGGGACCCCACTCTATACTTATGATCCGTGGCCCATGCACAGGAAGTTCATGCTGTTTAATCCTCAAAAATCTAGGGTGTGCAGGGTACCTGATTCCAGAACAACTGGTTCAACACCCCCTATACATCAAACAAAGCAAGTTCCGCACCACTAGCTACCACACTCCCAGAAACAGAGAGTGAGAGAGTGAGAGGGAGCACCCGAGAGGGCCAGAGACGGAGACAGAGAGAGAGAGAGACACTCATCTATTCACGGAGGTAGGTTGGCTTCTTGGGTTCAGGTTCATGGCTCACTACCTGAAGGCTCCAACGTAGTTCCTTTTTTGGTTTAGTTGTAGGGGATTCTAGCATACTAACCCTAAACCCTAAACCCTAAACCCTAAACCCTAAACCACCCAGAAGGTGCTACGTTGGAGCCTTTGCGTAAGCCCAAACGTCAACACCGAAGAGCCTCGTAGACGTCCGAGACGTATTTGTCGGAGAGCAACTGGATCGGCACCTGGGGGCTGGCTCGCACTCGGGTTTTAGGGTTTTTAGGGTTTTAGGGTTTAGGGTGTTTAGGGTTTAGGATTTAGGGTTTAGGGTTTGGGGTTTGGGGTTTAGGGTTTCGGAACTCGGGTTTTAGGTTTTTAGGGTTTCAGGGCTTAGCGTTTTAGGATGTTTTGGGGTTTCGGAATTGTAGTGGTTGGCCCCGTCAAGCCTCAGAAGCCGGCTCTTTTTCTGCAACATGCTTGACTGGTCATAGACAAACAATCCCCCAACTTTCGCAAAGGGCGAGAGGTGCAGGGTTTGGGGTTTTAGTACGTAGTGACACCGATAGCCGGCCAGCCCTCACTCACAGCCCTATTGGTAGCGAGGCTAGCCTTTCAAGAGGCACACGAACTTGAACGAAGCCTGAACCCCAGGGTTGAGGGTGAAGAGTGTGTGGCCCCATTGCCCCGAACCATCCGCCCCCCCCCCCCCCCCCCCCCCCCCCCCCCCCCCCCCACCCCCAAAATCACTAAGGCACATGGACCTTAAACCCTTTAAGAGCTTCTTCAGTTTACATTGAAGCTCTATCTGCTGATCCAAACGCCCCAACCCGAAAACCTTCCTATGAAGCCTCAAATTGGCGTCACATACCCTATATTGCTAGAATGCGTATTGGGGTTTAGGGTTTAGGTTCATATATACCCCATACTACGATCATCCCCACTAGGGCACACCTAGGGCACACGGGTGTGTAGCGGAGGACGCGTCTTGGCAAAGCCCCGAATCCTGTCTCCCCTCCCCCCCCCCCCCCCCCCCCCCCCCCCCCCCCCCCCCCACCTCCCCAAATAAAAGAACATCCAAAAAGGATTATAGCCCCAAGAGCCAAGCCATCGCGCTGGGCGCCGACATCCACGAAAGCGCCGAACCTTCGGGACCGGATGAACCCATGAGGTTCAAAGGCCCCCAGAGTGTGTAATATAGGGGTTTCCGAAAATAGGGTACCTTTGTTAGGGGCCCCTTTAGGGGGATTCTCGTCTATTTGTGGTATAAAAGGGGCACCCCTGTTTTGGGAAATGCCCGCACACGGGCCTTCAGCGTTAGAATCGGGTCTTGGGGGGTTATCATGGAATAGTTATAGGGGCCGTAAGGGAATGCTATTAGTAGTTCTTCAAACCCCTATATGACTTCCAAGCACATATGTATGCATGGTTTATGCTTGTGTGTGGATATTGTCCCCATGTATAAATGTCTACATGCATATGTACATACAACTGCGATCGCCCCCAGAAAGTTGAGTCTGAAAACCCTAAACCCTAAACCCGAAACCCTAAACCCTACACCCTAAACCCTATTCCTTGATTCTCCCAGGGAACCTCTCCACGGCCCGGACGATGCCCGTCCTGGGTGGCTCGCAGAGAGCCCAAAGAGCGCACGACACCTTCATTAAGGAAATGCGTATCTGTTTTTTTAGGGTTTAGGGTTTAGGGTTTAGAGTAGCTCTCTAAATCAGGGGTCCCTTTTCGGGATACCTTTTAATGGGTGCCGCCTTATTATGGGTAGCCAACAAAGGGACCCTTAGATAGGAAACCACCCATAGTCAGGTTTCTCCCGTGGCCGTGGCCAAACCCTGAACTGTCAACCCCAAACCCTGAACTCCAAGGCTTGCCATTAAGGAATAGACCTTTTTTTGGGGTTTAGGGTTTAGGGTTTAGGGTTACCATTAAGGAAGATACCTTATTTTTGGTATAGGGATCCTTGATTGCTTTAAGATATATTCCTGAAGCAAGGGTATTGGGCTCTTTGGGAAGGCGGCTTACACAGGCTCCGGGGTCTTGCAGTAGGGGGTGGCTTTATCATGGGTTTTTTGGGTTTCAGGGATGTTTAGGGTTTAGGGTTTAGGGCTTAAGTACCGGATGCCGCTTGCAGTGGACGGCAAAGCGCTTCCAAACCCTGAACCCTAAACCCTTGACCCAGTAAACCCAACAAGCCTAGCAGTCCAATCTTACAGCACCATATCCCCTTACAAGAGCCCTTGAAGAAAGTAGAGGGGGGCACCTAGCTTGCAAGGTCCCTACTACCCGAAAAGCGCAAAGCACCCTTAATGAAGGAATTTACCTTAAGTCATACTAAGGATGGGTGGAAAGCAATGAATGGTATGTTCCTTTGATAAGGGGTATTGGGCTCTTTGCGTAAGAACCAAAAAGGACATAAAACACAAAGTCAAGGTGCAGCTTCTGACCAACCGACAAGGAAGAGACCGGCACCTCGTCGAAAGATGTTGCTTTGGCTCAAAGGTCTCGGGGCTCCGTTAATGGCTCCGGAACAAAGATAAAACCCCAAACCCCAAACCCTAAACCCTAAACCCCAAACTCTAAACCCTCTCTCTCTCTCTCTCTCTCACAGGCGCTCAGCCAATACCCTAAAACCCTAAACTCTAAACCCTTGTGGCTTGTCTGTCCGTCGATTCCTTTTGGCTCAGTGTGTTAGCGAGGTGGGGAGTTGGAGCGCCCCAAATATTCGGTAGGCGAAACTAAACCTGATGTTCTCTTACATAAGAGAACTCCAAGAAATAGCGTTGTTAATATTCCTCTTGGGTTTTATATCAATAAAAACAAAACGGGGTTTACAAAAAAAGGGACCCTGAGATAGACCTTCTAATAGTAGGATTATCGTATAGTAAGGACCTTAAATGTACCCCTAACGTTGCAAACCCCCGTATGAATAGAATCAAACATAATTCCTAACCCTTTTGAGCAATTCCTAACCCTAAACCCTAAACCCTAAACTCAAACCCTAAGGAGACTGTAGTCTCTCCCTCCTGGCCACACTGTCGCAGCCACGCCGCGCGCTTGCTCTGCGCCACGCGCACCAGATTCTTGGCGAGCAGCCGCGCGATCTGCCGATCTACCTCCAGGGTCTAGGGTTTAGGGTTTAGGGTTTAGGGTTTAGGGTTTAGGGTGTAGGAGTTTAAGGTATAGAACATGCCTGTTCGCCAAACATAGAAGTACCTTGGCTAAGACACTGCCGAGACCGAAATCCTAATCAATTGCCATGAGCCTCTTGGCTGTCGCCTAAACCCTAAACCCTAAACCCTCGTATCGCATAAGCTTCTGGAAGGGGTGCCTCAAGTGTCCCCTGGGTTGAGGGTTGAGACTAAGTTGCCCAGCAATCCTAGGACTAAAGCGGGTGCCCGCTTTTTGCTTAAAGGGGTTTAGGGTTTAGAAGGCAAGCTAACCCACCCCCCCCCCCCCCCCCCCAAAAAAAAAAAAAAAAAAAAAAGAATAAGGGCTTACCCTCGTCCTTTTTTGCTTAAGGGAGTGTAGAAGGGAACCTAAACCCAGCCAAAAGACGGGAATGAGAGCATTCCTGGGGGCACCCTATGAAGCCCTGCAATGCCCTGCCTCATCTGCATCCTCCTCCCAATCTGCCTCTGCTGTAGCTCGGCGGCGGAACCGGGTTGCTCCTGAGTTCGGGTTAAATTGCTTAGGGTTTAGGGTTTAGGGCTTCCCAGGGCTGTATGATCGATGATCGAGGGAAACAGGGAGGTTCAAGGGTTTAGGGTTTTTAGGGTTTAGGGTTTAGGGTTTGGGGTTTAGGGTTTTGAGGGTTGAGGGCCCATCATATCATGTCTGGGAGGTGGTTTTTGCTTTAGGGCTCGGCGTTTATGGAGAAAACTCCCCCACAAAAACCCTAAACCCTAAACCCTAAACCCTGAACCCTGAACCCTGAACCCTGAACCCTGAACCCTGAACCCGAAACAGGAACTTGGTGAGCAGCACGGGCTGGCAGAGCAACCATCTTGAGCCAAAACTCAGAGCATCAGCTGGGAAAACCCCAAACCCTAAACCCAACCCTAAACCCCGATTCTTGCACCCTTTCTTTGCATCCGTCTTGCACCCTAGAACCCTAAACCCTAAACCCTAAACTCTAAACCCTACCCGCCAAAATCCCCTAAACCCTAAACCCTAAACCCTAAACCCTAAACCCTAAACCCTAAACCCTAAACCCTAAACCCTAAACCCTACACCCTACACCCTAAACCCTAAACCCTAAACCCTAAACCCTAAACCCTAAACCCTAAACCCTAAACCCTAAACCCAAAGCGATGGGCAGCTGAGCCTCCACAGACCCGCGCCGCGGCAAGGCCCAGAGCCAAGGGCCATCTTGTGGGTTTAGGTGCTTGGGGGTTTAGGGTTTTGGGGTTTTGGGGTTTTGGGGTTTAGGGGTTTTGGGGGTTTAGGGTTGAGGGTTGAGGGGATTAGGGGTTTAGGGTTTAGGGCTGAGGGTTTAGGGTTTGGGGTTTAGGGTTTCGGGGTTTAAAATTGGGGGTTTGGGGTTTAGGGTTCGGGGTTGGGGGTTTGGGGGTTGGGGGTTTGGGGTTTATAGGGGTTCGGGGTTTGGGGGTCCGGGGTTGTGGGTTTAGGGTTTCAGGGTTTAGGGGTTTAGGGTTTGGGGTTTGGGTTTCGGGGTTTAAGGTTTGGGGGTTCGGGGTTTGGGTTCAGGGTTCAAGGGCAGGTTTGATTCGTACCATAAATGTCAATAGTCGGGTATAATAGACGTTACTTCTGGATTATCGGCAACGTAACCTCGTACTTGAGAACAGAGTGTACCAGGATGTAGCCTCTACAGACTCTGCAGGCTCTTAATTGTGCCTAGTTCTGGTCGCAAAACATCATGCTTTGCTCCGCTCTTTCCCGCCCCCATCACTAGGTTGAAACTGCAGCCCACTCGCCCCTACCGCCATCACCACCCTCACCCCCACTGGCCATTCATTCAGGTTCAGGCAGGTCCAGCTTGCGCCCAATGGTTTCAGCCTATGCAGTCTCATTTAACATCCACTCAGAAGGTCTTCGGACTCCTTACATGATACCGCATCGAGGTCCACCTCGGACCATCTTATCAAAAAAAACCCAAACCCTAAACCCTAAACCCTAAACCCTAAACCCTAAACCCTAAACCCTAAAACCCTAAAACCCTAAACCCTAAAACCCTAAACCCTAAACCCCCTTGTTCCCCTCTGCTTATGAAGCCATGACATGAGTCCCAGAAACCCTCGGCGCCTCCGATCGCCACCCCGACCCCCTGCCGGCTGAAGCGCCGTTCGTCGAGGAAGCAGCCCCGGCCCTGCCCAAGCCCAGAGGGCTCATATCGGGGACCTAATGATTGGAATAAGGATATGCTGAATATTATGATTCTTACTACTACTAGTATTATGATGATGATGATTATTATTATTATTTTGTGATGCTATTGAGCTATGTTTTTTTTTTGGGGGGGGTACTATAGTATCTATAGAGGGACCATAAGGGAATACCATTCGTGACTCTTCCGACTCCTAGTCCTCGTAATTCCCCTAAACCCCAGACCCTAAACCCTAAACCCTCTAGAAGACCTGGGAGCCCAGAGCCTTCTAAACCCAAAGCCTGCTAAACCCTAAGCCCTGAACATTCCTAGACCCAGGAGTAACCTAGGCATAACCAGGGCGCCCTTTTTGGTGTAAAGGCTTAGTAGCCCAATAACCATATTACAATAAGGGAACCCTTTTTGGGTTGGCTACTTTACAAGGGAACCTTGAACCAAAAAAAAAAAAAAGGAAAAGGGTACCACTGGGCTACCAAGCCTAGAAAAAGGGAATAAGGGCCTACTCTGGGTCCTACCTTGAAAAAGGCTCCTGAGCCGTCCAAAGCTCCAAAGACGGCTTGGGGGGCTTGGGGTTTAGGGTTTAGGGTATGGGGCTCCTGCCACAACGCACAAAAGCCCAGGACTTTTGGCACGAGACATGCGGCCCCGAAATCGGACGGGAGCATACCTGAAACCACTGGGGGCGCTGGGCTCTCACTTGCGGTAAACCCTAAACCCCAAACCCTAAACCCTAAACCTTGAACCCTAAACCCTACTAAAACCCTGAACCCTAAACCCCCGAACACATTCAACGTTACGCCTCCCTGAGCCGAAGCTGGTGGCGGCAGCCCGCGCGCAAGCATGGCATCGCACGCCGGATGAGGGCTTCTTGGGCCCCTGATCCCTAAACCCTAAAGCCCCTAAACCCTAAACCCCAAACCCTAGCTCTAAACCCCAAACCCTAAACCCTAAACCCGAAACCCTAAACCCTAAACCATCCATTCGGATTTGTTGAACTCTCGCTTGGGATTTGTGTTGGGCTCCTCTCTTGGGATGCTGGAGTTGGGAGGGTTTAGGGTTTAGGGTTCAGGGTTTAGGGTCTAGGGTTGTAGGGGTTTAGAGTTTTGAAGGGGTTGACAGGGGTTTTAGGGTTTAAGGATTCAGGTTTAGGGGCTTGGGGAGCACTTGCGGGGCTGGTCGGTTTGCCTCCTGTCCAAACTTACCTTGTCGGCCCTCACGCGTCCAAGAAGCTGTGCTCCCGATTGAATGCTGCGATTGTAAGTCATGTATGTGGGGCTAAACCCTAAATCCTAAACGCCTAAACGCCTAAACCCCAAACCCTAATTCAAACCACACCGGAAACAAAGCAAGCATGTGGCTCAAGGGAAGGTTCTGCAAAGCCGAGAAAGCTCCACAAGAAGTCTACAGCCACGAGGGATGGCAGGCACGATTTAGGGTTTAGGGTTTAGGGTTTGGGGTTTGGGGTTTGGGGTTTGGGGTTTAGGGTTTAGGGTTTAGGGTTTAGGGTTTAGGGTTTGGGGATTGGGGTTTTAGGTTTGTACTATTGAGGTCAAGGGTTGAGGGCTTAGGACGCCACTTGGAACCAGAGCGCCTTGTGCGGTGGTCGCCGCTGCAGGCTGAGGAGCTCTTAAGGGGGATCTACTTGGAAGGTTTAGGGTTTAGGGTTTAGGGCTTAGGGTTTCGGGTTTAGGGTTTAGGGCTACTAGATCCTCCTCTGGCAACACCGTTGAGGTCGAGGCGGTGAGGCTCGTACTTTCGCTCGCCGCCGTGGGAGTGAACGTGGCCTTGAAGTGGCTTGACAGGGATAGAGTTCGTGGTTTAGAGTTTGGGGCCCTGAAACCTAAACCCTAAACCGTAAACCCTAAACCCTAAAACCTAAACCCTAAACCCTAAAACCTAAACCCTCAACCCTATAGTAGTAGAGCGTAGATGATCCCCAAAGGAAAGGGCCCCTTTCGGGCCCCCTAAAAGCAGTACTTAAGGCGCAAGAATGTATCCGGGCCGCCCTGGCTCATCCTCGGGCACCAAGTGAACCTTAAAATCGGGGTCATATACCCTATAACTCAATTCCTGTAAAATGGGTTTTCTAGGGTTTTATAGGATGTTATGGGGTTCTATCGGGGTTTATAGGGCTTTATAGGTCTTTCTAGGGTTTTCTAGGATTTCTACGACAATTCCTATTAAGGCCAAGCATGGCGTTAGAGCACGCTACTAGATGACAATGGACGATCCTTACTTTTAGGGTTTAGGGTTTGGGGTTTAGGGTTCCTTGCCTTCTGGCCTGCTAGAGCAAGCTGAAGAACCCGAGATGGTTTAGGGTTTAGGGCTGTTTAGGGCTTTTCAAATCGTATAAGGCCTGAAAACCCAAAAAGCCCCAAGTATCATTTTCAGGCAGAAGATCCCTAAAACAACCTAAAAACCCTAAACCCTAAAAAAACCTGAAAACCTGTAGGGCGTGCAGCTTTAGAAGCCCTAAACCCTAACCCCTAAACCCGATAAGCCGTAAACCCTAAACCCTACACCCGAAACTCTGCTTCATGTAGGCTCTCGCGCCGGCCTCCGCTTGCAGCGTCCCCTCCGAGCGTAGGATGCCCTCGTTCACGTCGTCTTTGCCAGGCGACCTGGGGAGGAGTCTCAAAACCCCAGAAGCTCTGCTGTAGCTTGAGGGCTTAGGGTTTAGGGTTTAGGGCTCATCGGGTTTAGGGGTTAGGGCTTAGGGCTGTTTAAAAGCTGTAAGCCCTATACAGTCTAATCCAGCCCTACACCTTGCAACCCTCAACTCGCACTCGCAACTCTCACAGGCGCGCCCCCCACAAGAACAAGAAAGGCGCTGGTTCTGGGGGGGGGGTTCAAAAAAACTATGTTCCAGAATTTTGTTTTCTAAATAGTAACGTTTTTTTTTTTTTTTTGGGGGGGGGGGGCCTGATGTCTTCAGAAGGTTGCTGGGTTGAGGACTGCCGTCTGTACGGTTTCGAGCATCTGATAAGAGTCTCTTCAGCTGTGCCGCGACCTTCATCCATGATAGCCTCCAGGCCCCTAAAAGATAGTGTTTTATAAAGACTGGAGGACCGGGATATACCCCCCTTATACCAACAGTCCTTACTGGGGATTGTAGTACCCCCTACTATGCTCCCTATTAAGGACTGCCTGTTAGTATAGGGGAGAGGATTAGGGGGACCCTTGGGGATAAAGACCCTTTGAATCAGGTCCCTGGTGAAGAGAGCCAGAAGAGGGTTCAGAAGGGGTAACCTTTGAAGGTTCCCCCTCATCCTACCTAGGAGTATAAGGGGCAACACCCCAGCAGGAGGATCCCAAAGGGTTGGGGTGTTGTAGGTGCCCCTAAGTGGGTTTAGGGTTTAGGGTTTAGGGTTTAGGGTTTAGGGTGTCCAAGTTCTTATACCAATCATTCTTGCTCTGGGTTCTACGATTCTAAACACCTGCTTTTTGCCACGGCTGCTTTTGGAGCCTATAAGCCCAAAATCTCCAAACCCGTGACCCAAAGAACCTCAAACCCCATGAGGCCGCAAGGTCTCCATTCCTAAGGAACAGCAGACCCCAAACCGTATAAATCCCATAAACCCTATAAACCCTATAAACCCTATAAACCCTATGAACCCTATAAACCCTATAAACCCTATCAGCCCTATAAACCCAATAAACCCAATAAACCCCATGAACCCTATAAACCCCATAAACCCTATAAACCCTCTGAACCCTATGAACCCTACAAACCCTATACAAACCCTGCAAGCCTGCGCGGTCCCGACCTTTCAAGAACCTTTTAAATCCAAGGAGCCCGAACTCGGAGCAAACCCAGCGCCCAGCACCCAAACATCTCCCAAAACCGGCCCAGGGCTCTACGCGTTTAGGGGGTTTAGGGGTTAGGGGTTTAGGGGTTTAGGGTTTAGGGATTAGGGATTAGGGTTTAGGGTTTAGGGTTTAGGGTTTCCCGGCTTTTTTTTGAACCTAGACTCCTTGACATAAAGGACCCTAAGCCTTGGGATGTTCCCCCTTATACTAACAGTCCTTAGTGGGGCTATATAGGATCCCTCTTAAGGAGCTGTTAGTATAACGGGGGAACATCCCAGCCCTAAACGCTAAACGCCAAACACTAAACCCTAAACCCTAAACCCAAAACCCCAAACCCAAAACCCAAAACCCTAAACCCTAAACCCGGCAACTTCCGAACACCAGCTCTGGAAGCCGCGTCGCCAGTGCGGCGTGGGCTCCTCCTCCCCAGAGGCGCCCAGGAGCAAGGACTCCCAACTGGGCTGAGGTAGGGTTTAGGGTTTAGGGTTTAGGGTTTAGGGTTTAGGGTTTAGGGTTTAGGGTTTCGGGTTTAGGGTTTAGGGTTTAGGGTTTGGACTCCCAACTGGGCCGAGGTTCTTGAGGTTTTTTGGGGTTCTTAGGATTCTTAGAGGGTTTTAGGGTTCTTAAGTTTTTGGGGGTTCTTAGGGTTTACAGGTTTATAGGGTTTTTGGAGGGTTTTCGGGGTTTGGAGGGTTCTCAAAAAACTTTCAGGGTTCTGAGTGTCTGTTGGGGTTGGGAGGGTAGAGTCTTTATAGAGCTTACAGGGTTTGTAGGGATTTTCGGGTTTACCTGAAGGCTCCAACGTAGTTCCTTTTTGGGTTAGTTATAGGGGATTCTAGTATACTACCCCAAAAAGGTACGACATACTGTAGTAGGAGCCTTTGTGTTTATAGAGTTTCGGGCCATACGAGTTGCTCTCCATATCCACATACAACGAGGCCCAATGCAGAGCCGCACAGAGATGGGTCAAGCACGGAGACCGCCCCAAACCCTAAACCCTAAACCCTAAACCGCTATATTCTAACGATGCTTGTAACTACCCATGAACCTTGAAGTATTCGCTCCCCAAGCCCGACATAATTGCTACAGCCTACGTAAACGAGTAAGTTTAGATGGAACTCCCTAAACGCTGAATCCTAAGCCCTACACCCGACCCTAAACCCTACGGCCCTGCTCAAGCCACCACCTTCTTTGATGTTTCGTGATTTTGGCTTCTTTGGGGGGACGTCCTGGGCTGAACCCTAAGCCCTCACACCCAATTTGCTGAAGCTCTCAAGCACCCTTGCTTTTTTGCAGAGTTTAGGGTTTAGGGTCCAGGGTCCAGGGTTTGGGGGTTAGGGTTAGGGGCCTGGCCTCCTCCCTGAACTCTTGTCAGGATCGGGCGACTTCAGGCAACGTCGGCAAGACCCGTTACAAGACCCGTTAACCCTTAAACGCTAAACCCTAAAACCCTTGAGCCCCGAAGCCCTTACACTCAACCCTCAAGCTTTTAGCCCTTTCAGCCCTGAAACCCTTACATCCAACCCTAAACCCTTAAACCCTTAAACAAAATACACCCAACCCTTAGCATTTTTAACCCTTAAAGCCCCTAAAATCCTCAAACCCCTAGACAGTTTTCGAGACCCGTGCCAGCTGCAAGAGACACCATAGGGGGCAGGAATAGTGCCGAATTGGCATTCTCTTCTGGTCCCTATATAATTGCCCTAAACCCTAAACCCTAAACCCTAAACCCTAAACCCTAAACCCTAAACCCTAAACCCTAAACCCTAAACCCTAAACCCTAAACCCTAAACCCTAAACTGAAGAAGGCCCCCGATGTTCCCGGGGCTCCCCACCCCAACTCGTGGAGGCTGGGAATCAGCTTCCTTGCATGGTAGGGTTTAGGGTTTAGGGTTTAGGGTTTAGGGTTTAGGGTTTAGGGTTTGGGGTTTAGGGTTTGGAGTTGTTTGGGGTTTGGGGTTAAGGGTTTAGGGTTTAGGGTTTAGGGTTTGGGGTTTGGGGTTTGGGGTTTGGGGTTTGGGGTTTGGGGTTT